ACATAAAATAAATATTTATTTTATGTTATTTGAAAGAACTTAAAAACAAAACTAGAAAAAAGAAAAACAATGTCAGTGAAAAAGCCAAGATTTGCTGTTTTGCTTGAAGATTGTGAAAATGGACAACATGGAAATTTGACGTTTGTATCATATTTTCTTCAAAATGAAGATGATACTTCTTTATCAAATTGGAATGGAGAGTTTTTGTTTAAAGATGGAAGTTCATTGTCATTTACTGTAAAATGTTCTGAACAATATCCAGCAGAAGTTCCAGAAATTACATTCAAAAAAGTGCCTCGTTGTACTTCTAAAATTCAGTTCAACAGAAACACTGTTTGTTATTGATGCAAAGTTTTAAAGAACAAAAAATACTGATTTAATAGATAAGTCCTGTTTCTCAAATTTGCAAAGACTGGTTGAACATTGATTATAATAAACGAAATCTTGATGCATTGTTCACTCTTATCCATGATAATTTGAAGTAATTTAAATGCTTCTTTTAATAAGTTTGAAATGATTTTTATTTTAAAAATAAAACAGTGATTCAAAATATTTGGTTGTTTTTAGTTTTGTTCTACATATCTTATTTTATGAATATTTGGACAATTTTCTATATGAATTGATTGACATTGAAATGGCAATAAAATGTCTTCTATAAATTTACATCTTCGAACAATTAGTTTTGAAATAGAACAACGTGAAAGGTCAATAGTTTTGATCTTTTTTCCAACTATTCTGAGTGTTGTTTGAACAATATCTGAAAGAATAACATCTGAAACTTGATAAAAGACTTCATTGTAGAATTGTTTTGATGGAATAAATTTATGAAAATTCAAAATAACTACTGGGAGAGAGTTTTTAATAACATAAATAACTTCTTTATTGAGACAAGCAATATTTGTTTTACTTTTGGCAGAAAAAACAACATAAGGAGAATAGATATGATGAATGTCAATATAACGTTTTTTGGTTTTTACTATCACTCGTTTACATACAATTTCTTCAGATAATATTCCATTATGATATGATATTATTCCAATACTTTGAATCTTCCAATTATTGATTGTTCCACTCAAATGAATTTTTGATATAGAATTTCCTTTTATTTGTTCAATAACAGAATGTGATTGGATTGTCAGTTTTATTATATTGCTAAATTCAAGAAATTTAAATTTGGAATTAACAGCTCGAACAAAATGAAGATTTGTTGGAAGTTGAACAGATTGAATAGAACAATCATAAAAAGAAATATACTGAAGATTAAACAAAGATAAGTCAAGAAGATCTGTATGGATTTCAACAATCATCTTTTGTGTTTGAGAACACCAAAAGTGAACAACGTCATGAATAAGAAGAGGGATATGTCTATGGTTATTTGTAAAGTTAAGTTTCATTTTTGTTGAGAAATAAATACCACATAAAGGAGTTGTAATAGGAGCAGTTAATGCTATTTCAGAACAACAACAAACCCCAATTTTTTTTAATAATTTTGAATGAGCTAAGTCAATTTCAAAGTGTTTGCATTGATACAAAGAAAGAGATGTTAATGTGGTTAAGACAGAATGCAAGTGACTTTGTGTTCGTGTGAGATTTAAACATTCAATAGGAGTATTGTTTAAGTTAAAGTTAGCTTGTGGTGCTTCTATGCTCAACACTTTTAATGACTGGGGAAGAAGTAATTCAAATGGCTTTTCATTTTTTAGTGTTACACTTAAATTCTGAAGATAATGACAATGCTTAAGGTTGATATGTTCAATGTCTTGAACCTTTTTTGAAAAGATTTTAATGTCACATGGTAATGAACTATTAATTACTTCATGTTCATCTTCTTCTTTAAAGTAATTTGGATCAATACAACAAGAACCAAAGTAGTGAAAGTATTGCTCAATTTTTCTTGTTAATAATGCTACATGAATTTGAATAGAAGGATATTCATATCTAATGGTATGAATTTGATATTGAAGAGTATCTTCATCATAAACAGAGTAAATAATAAAATGATATTTTGTTCTTTGAACATCAACATTATGAAAATCATAAATCACTGTTTCAGGACATCCAAATTGAAAAAGTACATATACTGTTTTCAAATTCTTCAATTGGTTCAATGTACTAAAATCAAAATAAGTTGAATATCCAATTTTTAGCTTTTTTAAATGAAAGAAGAATGGAATTGAATAAAGAAATTCATCAATACAATGTAATGTTAAACGTGTAATTGAATATACTTCAATTTTTGATAACAACTCGATTTGATTTGTGCTAAAAGGTTTAATAAACGAGTAAAACACTGCACATGATTGGATTGTTCTTATGAATGTGATTTTATTGTTCCACGAATGTTTAAATTCATCTATTTCTTTCCAGTCTTTTAATTCATATACTGTTTCTAAGTTAGTGAAGATGTGTTTATGTTGTGATATTTCTTTAAAACAGATACGAAATGGGTTAATACGAATTGAATGAACTATTTCTTGACACTTTTTATTGACACTTAACAATTTCTTAATTGTAGTGATTGAATCACAATACAAAAGAACGTTCATCAAATACACTCTTTCGAGTATTATTTTCTTTTTCATTTACTAATTTTTATTTTTATAAACTTATTTAAATAAACTTTGTCTTTTCGTAACATTGTGATAATGATGCTTTATCTTTTTTTACTTATTTTAATTACCAATTCTTGTTGTGTTATTCAACATGAAAAAGAAAAGGTTTTAACTCTTCATTAATTAATTCAGGATATATTTGATTATAGTTCAATATTACTTCTATAAAATGGTTATTTTATCAACTTACAATAATGTTCTTTCATGAAATTTGTAATATCTAATTGTATCATTATAATCTAATAGTTATTTTATTTGTTAATTAAATATTGAAGATTTATAAATAAGTG